AGGCAGGAGGATCACTTGAGCCCAGGAATTTGAGGTTGCTGTGAGCTAGGATGATGCCACGGCACTCTAGCCCGGGCAACACAGTGAGACTCTGTGTCAAAAAAAAAAAAAAAAGCAGTGGAGAGGCCGGGTGTGGTAGTTCATGCCTGTAATGCTAACACTTTGGGAGTCTGAGGTGGGAGGAACACTTAAGGCCAGGAGTTTGATACCAGCCTGGGCAACATAGTAAGATCCCTCCTCTATAAAAAAATAAAAATTAAAAACAGTTGAGATAGATTTTATGTTGTATAAATGGTATCTTAATAAAGCTTTAAAAAAATAGCAGTGTGTGTCTGTTTAGCATCCCAGATCATTTGTTTTATCATAGATTTCTTTCCAAACTCCTGGGGAGATAGGATTCTATTAATAGTTAGATTTCTTTATGCTGAGAACTTCTATAAAGAGCCTTCCAAGTTATCAGAGTATTAAGTCTTTTAGGAAATCTAGAAAGGAGAGAATTACCATCCAGCTGTCAATGCATGGCCCTCCTCAGTGAGAGCAGGATGATTGTGTGCTTGGAAGTTAGAGGGACCTATTAAATTCACCCATACCGTTTTGTTTGATTCAGCTTTGCCATGCAGGCTATAAAGACTCTCCTCCTCAGAACATTGTGCTGGCAGGAATTCAACATCATGGAAAAGAATAAAGGGTGGACCCTTCTAGAAAGAAAAGATTGCCATCTTCAGGGAGTATTTCTCCTTGCCAAGTAAGGCTTCCTTGTCATGCATATACCCACCTGCTCTAAATTGGCATTGTTTGGGGTATTTATTTCCCTTTTAGTTATCACAGCAACTAAGGTTGAATAACTTTTTCATAATAGAGTGGGTAAATATCCATAATGCCCGGCACATTTTTCAGAGATCCTGGCCCTGCCATACCCTTCTGTATACCAAAGCTGGGCAAAAACTTCAGAGGGTCCCCAGCCCTGAGAAAATGCCCTCTGTATGGAGGCATTTCTGAGAGTCATTCTGTTGGTGTTCTGTTTTGCAGTGCATTGCGGGAAAGAAATCACCACCTTGCACGTAAGGTCATGTACTTGTTAGTCCCGCTTCTTAACCGAGGGAATGATAAACATAAACTCACATCTGCAGGCTTTTTTGTGGAGGTAAGACTCATTCTTTAGAAGCTGGATTCAGGAAGCCTTATAGGAAGCAATACCTGCCTTCCTAGGCTATATCCAAGTAAATAAAAGGCTGAGATCCATTTCAGGTGTGGGATGGAAATATTTTCTGGATTCAAGCCTATTGAACTTCTTCTTTCCACACATTCATTATTCAGTATTCTTTGTGTGCCTATAGGGCTTCACCCTGTAGTATATGTGCTGTACTGTAGAAATTTCAAAGGAAAATATGGATTTTTAAGTTAGTGGGAAGGTAGCTCCCCTCATGAAAAGAGGCTTGAAGGTAATTGCCTTGGCGGATTTCTGGGTTCTTTCAGCTTCTCCAGAGTCCGGTGGCTAGAAGACTGCCTGGCATATACTCCATTGCCCGCTTGAAAAAGTGGCTACACCATGGAAATAATCTTTTTAGGATTCTTGCCCTGAGGGGACTGTGCAATCTTGCCAGACACGAGGAGATGGTAGGAGGGGCCCCTGGACCACTGATTCTTAAGTCACAAATAAAATACCCCAAAAAGATACCAAAGAAACTGATACAGCTGAGGAGGAAAATTGGGTAGCCTGGGGACAGGAGTGGGTGGGAGAAGGTCTTTTTTGCCGCACATCCTTTTGAACCATTTGAATTTGTACCTACGAAATATGCAAGTACTGACTATTAAAAATTAATGAAATTTAAAAAAATAAATAAAAATTATGAGTTACATATATTCATAATATTTGGTACCTGAAATTTGTGTGAGAAGTATGCTCATCATCATCACAACCTCGATAACATTCAGGTATCCCCTTATGCCTTGGGTATATCTGAAGCAAAAATGACAAATGTTAATATATATTAATTCTGGTTGATTATCCAATTAATATCTGTTGCTTTATTCTACTTACTTTTTTACATGAATGTTTTAAATTTTACAACCCTGAGACTGCTTCCTTTCATGAGTTTAGAAGAGCAGAATCCCAGTTCAGAATGTGAAGGACCTCTAAGGGTCCTCAGTCAATTTCTGCTTGAATTCCTGCCAAGGGATCTTTGAGCCTCTGTTTGGATACCTTCCATATTTGGGAACTCACTGTGACCTGAGATATCTGTTCCACTTTTATCATTAGGAGAACTGTTCCTTACAGTGAGCCCAGGCCCACATCCCTAGATCCTTCCTGCCTGATCCCACTTCTGCCCTGTGAGGCAACTCACAACAGCTCTGCTCTCCCCTACATATCAGGCCTGCCAATACTGAGAGAGGACAGTCATGTCCTCTTCTCCATTCTGGACTAGCCAGCCCTACCAAAAATTCAGTAAGCACTAGGTACTGGGTAAAGGTAGGGAGCCCTCCCTTTGGTACCAGGTGACATGCTGTCAGGAAAGGAGGTGATGCATTCCCTTTGGATACACAGACGGAAGACATCAAGAGCCTGTTGCCATGCATCTTAGACAGCTTATATGAAGCCGACGAGAAGATTGTTTTGTTGGCCATCCAGATACTCCTGCGGCTTGTCTGGACAATGGATTTCACTACCCTGGCTACCATGATGAGGACTCTATTCTCCTTATTTGGTGATGTAAGACAATGGGAGAGGAGAGACTTTCAGGGGGAGGGTGGTAATTGGCATAACAGGGAGCAAAAGTTGGTATGGTCGTAAGTACACTCTATTTTATATAGGACTTTTACTTTCAGAGCATTTTCAAATCTCTTAAGACCCTTCCAGGTAACCTGCGATATTGGTAGGGCTGATATTATTGTTTTTTTCAGATAAAAAACTGAGACATAGAAACCTGCTAAGGTACTATCCTACTTCGTGGGATGGGGAAGGAGAAAACATTGTCTTTCTTTTCAAGGATCAGAACTGGGTCAAGATTGTGGAGTGATTGGGAGTGGTGGCTCACACCTGTAATCCTAGCACTTTGGGAGGCCAAGGCAGGAGGATCACTTGAGGCCAGGAGTTTGAGACCAGCCTGAGCAACATAGCCAGAACCTATTCTACAAAAAATAGAAAAAATTAGCTGGGCGTGGTGGCACATACATGCCTGTAGTCCCAGCTACTCGGGAGGCTGAGGCAGGAGGATCCCTTGAGCCCAGGAGTGTGAGTTTGCAGTGAGCTGTGATGATGCTGCAGCCTGGGTGACAGAGCGAGACCCTGTCTCAAAACAAACAAACAAACAAAAAAAGATGGTGTAGTGTACTTATGTCCTTGTCCAAAATCCCATATATTTTTCAAAAGGAAATACATGGAGTACAATGACCAGCATCCTTGGAAGAGTAAAACATGCCAAGGCTGGGATAGGCTGGGCTTTTGAATTTCAGCAAAACAGCCTGTGTGAATGGTTAATATCACAATCAGGTGCAAGCTTTGTGGACTACAAGTGGGACTGTGCCCGTTTCTCATTTATAGAGTGAGAGAACAAGTAGTGCCAAAGTAGCAAGTCTTACTACCTTCACATATATTTGATTTCTTGCCCTCAGCTACATACAGCTAAGTAGCCTAATGTTAGGACTGGCTTTTCCAACCACCCAGAATTCTAAGCTAAGCATGGAGATGTTCAGTGGGTTGCTTCCCTTTGGATACTCCTTTTATAGGTGAGACCTGATGTTCATCGTTCCTCCATGGTTCTCTTTGGAGCTTCCATAAAGTCTGTGAAATACTCAGATAAGAAGAATATAGAGAATCAAGTCCTGGACAGCTTGGTCCCGCTTCTTTTGTACTCTCAGGATGAAAATGATGCAGTCGCTGAGGTGATACCTACTATTAACTTCTTTTAGTCCTGAATAACTTCAAATCCCCAGCCAACTCTGCACATAAGCATTCATATCTTTGCGGGCAGGGACTTTGTAGTAACATCTTTATTCCCCATTCCCTCTGGCCCAGAGCTACCTTTCAATTATTTTGCCTAAGTGAATTGTGTGGAAAATCTTACTTCTTATTTCTATATAGCTAATTTTAGTCCTTTATGAATAAGAATGATATATTACCCTTCTTTGTAGCCCCTTTCCTGATATTCAGCCTGGCACAGAGCCCTACATATACCACCCAACTCAACAAGCTCTTTTGTTGATGACAATGATAATATACTATTATATTTCTATCTCACTTCAAGAACTGCCTCATGGCCTTGAGACCATGAGATTTGTGTTGGGGCTAAGTCAGAGATAGTAGCTTCTCTGACAATCTGGAGAGGACTTTACCTCTCCTTGATCTTCCAAGGTTTTTTGCCATAGGAGTTGTGGTTTTTCCATTTAAGCCATCCAAATCTTAACTAGGTGGTAGGTGGGAGGTTGGAATGTTGTCATCGTTAGTAACGTTCCCCCACCTCAGAAGCCTGTCCATTCCAAGGTGCTAACTATGACCACCAGCTGCAGCAACCCAGGAAGGTTCAGACCTCAAGGATTCTGGGAAAATGCCAGAGCTCTCACCTCCCTGTCCCCTGCCCATACAGAAATGAAAGCTCAAGGTTTCAGGTAGAAACAGGACTTAAGATTAAGGTAGGCCCTGGCACCTTGTTATGAGGAAAGTTTCATGGCTCTATAGCTATAAATATGAAATATTTTAGACCCCAATAAAGTAAAGGGCAGAGCTTCCCAATTAGGTGATGGGGAAGTATACGCTGCAGGGGTTACAGACATACAGAGGTATTGACACCCCATCCCCACCTGGCCAGCCCTCAGCAGTCAGGAAAGGCCTGGAGCAGCCAAGGCTCTGGGCTTATTTTCCTTCAAGCCTTAACCTCTAGCGTCTTTTCAGGCCCCTCAGAAAGTAGTCTAAGCAGAGAGGAGGGGGTCTGACGTAAGATGAGTTAGGAGTCAGTGGCACAGAAACATAATACACACCCATATATCTACCACCCACTCTAAGAAATAAAGCAGGAATAAATCATATACCCATCTTCAATTAAATTTCCCCAAGAACTATCATCCTGAATTTTATTTTCATCATTCCTGCGGTAATATTTTTTCATGTTTTAAAACTTTATATGTTGTATCATTCTACAAATTGTTCAGCATCTTGCTTTTTTATTTGTTTAACATTATATTTACGAGATTTATCCATGTTGTGTAGCTCTAGTTTATTTATTTTCATTGCTATGTAGAATTCTATCGTATGAATAATCTACAACTTATCCCATTATCCTATTCCTGGACATTTAGATAGTTTTCCGTTTTTCATGATTACAATGCTGCAATGAGCATTCTTGTATATATTTCCTTGTGTACATATATGAGAGTTTCTTGGGGGCATAAACCCAGAAGTAGAATATCTGGGTATTTTAACTTTACTAGATATTTATAAATTACTAAACCAAGCAACTGAACTAATTTGTATTGCTGTCAGTCCCCAAAGGAATTTTTATGGTACAAATATTTAGTGAACCTGAGACGAAATACTGGCTTGGAGACTCGTCAGAAGTGTCATGTGATGCATGGGAGGCATTCTGAGAGCAGTGAACTAGAGAAAAGGCCCACTTGGCTAAATCTTGCTGAAGTATCTGGATCAGGAAGGGATCGATACTTTCTATAGTTCCTTCCAACCCAGAGATGCCACAAGGGCGAGAAGTCAGGAGCTGTACTTTCCTATGTACCGTGACAGAAAAATGACATGGGAGCAGCAAGGAGGGGAGAGGGCCTTGTCACCAGAGCATGGGGTGGTGGGAATCCCTGCCCAAACCTTTGATCTGGGGATTCCATCTGACATCTGTCACTTTTGCCCAGGACCAGTGGTTTCTACATCCTCCCAGAACGCTGGGGGTTTTATACATCCCCTTTAGGGACTGGGGAAGTGGGAGGAGGAGGGCAGGATTTTGGTTCCTTTCCACCCCTCCACTCACTTCAACCAGGGTAATTCTGAGTTTATCAGCTTTTGTATCAGTTGGACTTTAGTATCAGTTTTATTGAAGAAAGATTACCTCAGCTAGAAAATGTTTGAAAATGCTGATCTATGATGATCTTTTTCACAGGAGAGCAGGCGAGTCCTAACTATATGTGCCCAGTTCCTGAAGTGGAGGCTGCCCCAGGAAGTATACTGCAAAGAGCCCTGGTACATCAAACCTACTAAAGCTGGAGCAGTCTGTAAATTCTTCGTATGTGTGCAATAATGGCTTTGTTAACTCTTTAACATGCTGACATACTTATTTTTTTCTGACATAGGTTTTAATGAAAGAACATGGCATACAGGAAACATGTCCCATCCCTATCAACATCAGCAGTTGATATCTAGGAACTGTTTTGCATTGTGGACCTATTTTTCTATAGCTGCCTCCCACTTGAGTCACAAACTTACTTTCATTTTTTTTTTTTCACTTTAAATCAAAAGCTACACAAACTTACTTTCTATTACCATGCTTACTCACAAAAAAGACTGGTGAGTTCTTGGGAGCCCTACTAACCTGGGTCAGAGGCTATAAGATCAAGCTGATAGTACATGCTCAAAAAATAATTAATGGACTGAATTGAAATGGAGTTATGTGTTGCCTATACAGCTATCTCTAATCCTTTCCTTGAATATAGTGGATTGATTTATTCTATCAGAGCATGTTCAGGGAGTCCCAAGCAAGGGCTGTCATGCAGCATGATGGCAGCATGCCGCTGGCTTTACCAAGACCTAGATCGCATCCTTTCTCCTCACAAACTCGACAAAGGCTACTGTGGCTGATCTCAGGGGCAAGCATGAGCCAGGATAACCTCAGGATGCCCATCCATGGTTTTCTAGAAAATGACCCTAAAACCACTTGGCTTCTACTATGAAGACCCTAGGACTGACTGCTCCTGAGAATCTTCCATACGTATTGCCGGTTTAGGACCCAGAGTAGGTTCCTCTGATCAGCCTTGCAGTTCCCTCGTGTTAGGCTTTCCAGTAGGGGTTATCTCTCTGACCTGCAGCCAAAGCTATAGCTGACGCAGTGATAACTGTATTTACAGCAGGAAATTTAGTGCTGTCAGTAGATAAAACTACAAGTTGTCCATGTTAATTAAACAAGTTCTATAAGAACAAATTCCTGTTTCCCCCGCTCCTATTCCTGAGGAGCCTGTCCTTATATGAGATCCACTGAGAGGTGCATTCATTCACCCAATAGGCACAACAAATCCAGTGTGCAATAGGCCATGGAGAACCCAAGGATTAAAACTTCCTGAGGGGAGCTTGAAAACTAGTAAGGGAGATAAAACCTCCATGGAAAATTAAATAAAAACTCAGTGTGGGAAATAATATGTGCTCCTGCAAAATGCTCGGAGCAGGGTTAGCTCAGGCAGGCAGGTGGTCGGGGAGGAGCTTATAGGGCAGCAGAGCTCAAGATGGAGCTTACAGAACAAAGGCTTAGATACAGAGGATCCAGGGTGGCTTTAGAAGCATTATAGGTACAACATGTGGCATGAGTGGGTGCAAACAAGGGGTATTCAGAGGATTTAAATTGGCCCAGGGGCTTGTCATTGTGACATAAGACTTACTCAGCAACTGCAGTTATTTCAAGTACTGCTATAATCTATATCTGATACAGTCCCTGACCCCAGAAACTATGGTGAGGCTGATGAAAATAGTGTTGCTACTTCACTGCTTTGCACTCTTACTTTTT